TCATTTGGTATGTACTCATTTTTTTTAACCTTGTAACTTGCATTATTTTTCATCAACAAAAAAATAAGAAATAAAAAAAAAAACATTGTCAAAGAAAAAAATGAATGCTAGTTAGGTTGAAAACCCAGAAAAAAATGGGCAATCTAAGCAAAAGTGGCTAAAATGAGTGAGTTGTGAGAAATGAAAAAATAAAAAGAGAGGCTAGGATGAAAACCTGAAAAGGCTCCTAGGCAAAATGAGAGAATGAGAGAAAAATATCTATTTATGCAGAAGATAATCAAAAAAAAAAGAAGAAGAAAATGTTGGATGGTTGTTCTGCTACTTTTGTGGTTTTGAAAACTTCATGGGCAGGTTTTAATTTACTCGAGACGAGTAAAGGTTCAAGTGTGGGGGTGTTTGATGGGCACTAGTTGTTAGTGCCTAAGTATACATTTTTATTATTGTTTGTAATGTTTATTTACTAGTTTTGTGTAAGTTTATAGTTGCTAGTTTGCATTTGATTGTAATCGTATTTTTAGCATTTTATTGTTTGTTGTAAGTTGTAGTTAGTTGAGATATAAGTTTAGGATAGGTTTGGAAGCAAAAAGGATGAAGAAACCTGAGTTTTGTGCAAAATCCGGTCGGGTATGGACTTTACCTGGCCGGGTATGAAGTGACAAAGGAAATTGCTACAAATTTAGCAAATACCCGGTCGGGTATTCCATATACCCGGTCGGGTATTCTGTGATTTCGGACCAAAGAACGTGCAGAAGACACAAAAACATGGGAAAATATTTGATTTGGTAAATACCTGGTCGGGTATGTCAAAATACCCGGCCGGGTATCCGGCATTAGGTGTTGAAAACACCTATAAATAGCCCCATTTTCCTTCACATTTCACGATCCCTTCTTCCATACTCTTTAGCTCAGTTTAGAATAGCATTTCTTTATATTTTTCTAGCTATGTTTAGCCTCCAAATGAGGAGCTAAACTTCCATTCTTGGTGTTGCTCTTGAAGCTTGTTGATTATTAAAGTTGTGAGTTATTTTCTTAACTTCTTTCCTTGAATATTAATTAATAGTTCTTTCCTTAATACCATCTCTATATTAATGTTGGGGAGTGTTGCTAAGATGACAATTAGTTAACATCTCGACATTAGTTAGAATGGTATTTTCTTCCTCTATATTAATATTGGGGAGTGTTGCTAAGATGACAATTAGTTAACATCTTGATATTAATTATAGTAGGATTCATCTTCTTTAATAATATTCTTCCTTGAATATTAATTAATTCCTACTCTTATTTCATATTAATATTTTGAACATTACTTAAAGGATCAACTAGTTTTGTTTCATATATTAATTATTACTAGAAACGATCAACGAACCGACGGTTAATCGTTGATGGTTTCACAAGTAAGTAACTTCGGTTTATTAATGCACGGTCGTGGTTAATAAACTTAAGAGGGATTAATTTTGTTGGTTAAACCGAAACCGCTTGTGTTGAGGTTATCAATCTCAATTGATTTCATCAAGGAGTTAGAAAGATTAAATGCTACTATTAAATCGGTATACGACGTTGTTCTATATTTGATTAATAGTAAGAGTTATTAATGAACGGTCGTTGTTAATAACTACCCTCGATGAAGTGGATATACTCCCCGATTGAGTATTCGAGAGGGAATAAGTTATAGATATAACAATGATCGACTAAAATATATCAACAAGTGGAAAGTAGCAATGCCAAGTCCTTTTTATCTTTGAATTAAATACATATAGGTTGTTCATCTTAGTTCTTAATTAAATCAAATCACTCAATCTAAATCTCCCCTTTTTATTCACTAAGTATCATAAAAAGAGAATTATTCCTTTCCCTGTGGATACGAACTCTACTACGCTATACTACGTATAAGTGTTTAGTATTGAATTTATTTTGACGCACCGTGACAAAGTGCTCGTCACGTACTCCCCAACATTTATATAGAGCTAGATTAAATTAATATTCAAGGAAGAAGATTAAGGAAAATAACTCACAACTTACAATTCATTAAGTTTCAAAGTAGCAAAACCAAGATGGAAGAGTTTAGCTCCTCATTTGGAGACTAAACATACTAGAAAATAAAAAGAAAACACTTAACTAAACTGAGCTTAGAGTATATGTGAATTGGTGATTTTAATGTGAAGGAAAAGGGGTGTATTTATTACAAAATGGAGGTGGCAGGGTGCTGTACTCGATCCTTAATATGAGATACTCGACCGAGCATAAATGGTAGTTTGCAGGAAATTGAGAAATATAGGCATACTCGACCGAGTATTGAGTGATATGTACTCGGTCGAGTATGAGACCGGATTTCCATCAAATATTCGGCCACGTTCTTTTGCTCTCAGATTTGATTTTGACCAGCGTATCCGGTCAACACTCGACCGAGTATTGGCAATATTCGAATGAGTACGGAACAAATTTCAAAATCTTCATTTGATCTTCTCCCTTTTGCACATTGTTTGGTCTTTAGGATCCATCCTTTGATTCTCGGGATGATTTTGACCTGTCCTAAGCTCAGAATAATCCTAATCTAAACAAATTACAAACATTTTTACAAACTAAACAATTACACCAAAAGTGTGTAATTTCCAAAGTAACATTCAATCAAAACTAATTAAAAATACAAACATAAACATGGGAATGACGTGTGTTTATCGGGTGTCTTTAATTTGTTACTGTGTTTGTTAATTGTAAGGATTTCTAACCATTTCCTTTTTGCACAAATTTATTTTTATGTAAAATGCTAACTTCCAAAACAACATTTTTTTACTATGAATATCATATATCTATGATGTTTACTAATAGATATTTCGACCCATAATGATCAAGTATGCGTTCACAAGCATATGGAGTATAATAATAATAATTTTTTAATGGCTAATCAACTCAACACGCATACCAAGATCAGATGCTAGAACGTCAAATTGTAAATTAACTCCATCTCAATCCGAAAATTTCGAGATCTTTCCTTTTTCTACAAAGTTTTTATTGATAATTTCTTTTGAACTTTTTAAAGTGATTTTGAAAAAATGTTTAATAGTAAAAGTTGGTAGTGTTCGAGAAAAAATTGATTTTGAAAAGTTAAAGTTGGTAGTGTTTGGTAAAATAAGTGCTTTTTGTGTAATAGAAAAAGTAAAAAACAAATTCTAGCTTTTAGCTTTTAAATATTAATTTAAGTAACCAAGCATTCCAGCTCAGTTGATTGTGACGTTAGCATGTCTGGTGGGAGGTCTTGAGTTCGAAACCCGCTAGGCACACAAGGGTTTGAAACATAATAGAATGAGTTTCAGTCCTGATTACTTCAGGCCCCCCAACCCCCTCCCCCAAACCCCCTGGAGTAAAATAAAAGTATTCATATTAATTTAAGTAAAAGTTGTCACTTTAAAACACTTTTTTTTAATTTTTTTAAGCCAAAAGGTGTGAAGTGATTTTTCTTAAGTGTTTGCAAAGTGCAAACTGTGCCTTATTTTCTCCAATCCACTTTAACTTGCATTCTCATTTCAAATATTAAAATTGCACAAAATAAAGAATCAAAACATAGATAAAGTTGTAAAAACATGGTAGTGTGCCAAATACTACGTATGAATAGGGGTGGGCATAAAAAACCGTAACCGATTAACCGAACAAAAAGACCGGAAAACATGTGTTCTTTTCGGTTAACCGTACCGAAATTTTTAAAACTCACGGTACGGTTAATTGGCCGGGAGGAAAAATGGTTCGCGGGAAGGTTATTTTTGTGAAATTATCTTCCGTCGGTTAACCGATAACCGTAACCTCAAATATTATATGATTTCCGTATTATTGCCTCTTTTTAAGTGATGATGATGAATGGTATGCACTTCGTGGAATTCTGCATCTATAATTCACGTCCGTACAATCGTACATAATGGAATACATACAAAGCTACTCACAGTTATATAGCTCAACTAAATGGAAAGAATATTTCTACACTAATGCAAAGCGACTCACATGTACATATCTTAAGTAATATACGTATATACATACGGTATAATAATACTACATATAATTATAGGAACATATAATCTGGAAAAGTAGTACTACATACATACTAAGTAGTACAAGGAAAGATACTCAGACTAACTAAAATTTGGAAACCATAGGATTTATTGGAAAAGTTATTGCTATGGAAGTTTCTTTTTTAATCTCGGACTGCTAGTACGTAATACTTTTAAGAATTTATTATTTTATTTTTCATGGTTTTATGGTTAACCGATTAGTGTGGTTAACCGAAATTTTGGTTAACCAAGTATCGGTTAACCAATGTTATGGTACGGATAATGGTACCAACAATATATTAACCAACATTGTGGTTAACCGAAAATTGGTTAACCGAAGTCCGGTTAACCAACCATGCCCACCCCTCCGTATGATCGTAATAAATGACTCCAAGGGATCAAAATTTTCCTTTAGGGTCGGATACATGAGTCCTATTCTCAGAAGAAATCAATGATCGTAGTAAATTCCTATTTGATTTTCTTGCAATGTTTTACTCACATTTACATATTACTCTGTATACTTCGTATACATGGGAGGTGTTTGGATCCTTTTTTAAAATTATTTCTGCTTCTGAAGCAGCAGATATTGGAGTGTTCATGTAAAAGTGTAGAAACACTTTTAGGTGCTTCAAATTGCTCTTAGAAGTACTTTTTTAGAATCTAGATCAGCTTCTGAAAAAACTAAGTCTGATTCTGCTTCTGCTTTTAATAAATAAACAAAAGCAAAATCAGTTCCAAACAAAAAAAAATCAATTATATTCCAAACACCTCATAATACTCCCAAGTCACTTTTTCGTATCCCCATACCCATTTTTATATTTCAAAGACATTTCAATGAATTAGATTGAATTTTTTAAAAGTGTGAATAAAGTGGAAATGTATGATTGTGATTGAGCAAAATAAAAGTAAATGAATGTTAATCACACAAAGTTTTTCAAAAAGGGAAATAAGAAGAATTTTTTAGGACATCACACCAGTGTAAGTGGGAAAAATTACCTCCATATTTTACTTGACTATGGTAGAAGTCTTTATTTAATTCAAAAGAAGCCTGATCTTATATTACTAGACTAGAGTAAGCTAATTAATTAAGTAGTAGGTAGAATTCAAAATATGGTAAAAACTCATGATAATTTGTAGCTAGCTACAACTAACGCTATCTATATGGATGTAGTAACATTGATGCGTACTTAGCGAGTAAGTTTGAAGTCGACTTGAAGTGGAAAAGAGAGCAATCCATCTCCGATGACAATAGTGTGTGAACCAGAAGGCAAGAGATTGTAGGCTCTATAGTCCACCAACCCCAAACTCTTGCAAGCATCCACCTCAAACTCCACTGTCTTACTCTCCCCGGCATTCAACCCCACCTTTTGGAAGGCAATCACTTGTTTGATGTGAGCTTTGGCTATTTCAGCGGGAGGGGTCCAGTACACAATTAGCGTCTCGCTCCCACTTTTGAGTCCCACGTTGTTGACTTGGACCGCGAACTTGATCTTGTGGCCGCCGTCGCATTTCAAGTCGTCGATCAACACCGCGGGGCAGGGGCTGCGGAACGCCCCTTCCGTGTAGTTGAGGTCACGGCAGTGCTGGAGGTGGTTGAGCTCTATGTTGAGTAGCCTTTGCGAAGAGGTGAGGTTGTAGGTGAAATTTGTGTAGCTCAGGCCGTGACCGAAGGGATAAACTGTGGTGCCATTGAAGAACTTGTATGTCCTTCCCGGATACCCCAACTGCTCTAACGGCCTCAGCGGCAGGGACGTCATGGGCAATGCTTCCGTATACTTCGCCTCGTACCATGTCAATGGGAGTTTTCCTCCTGATCGATACGATACCATGTTAGATTTAGATCGAATTTCATCTTTAGATCCACCCAAATGCTGATCGAGAATCTTAATATAAATCTCTATTAGTAATTCATTTTTCACGTGTATGGAAAATATAGGGTGTACGTACTTCAACAAATTATCTTAATTACACACTACTACATTTTTAGACCTAATGTAACATTAATGATGTAACATATATATAATAGTGTTACCTATTTCTCTAATGTAACACTTTTTAGACCTAGTGTAACACTTTCTAGAAGTATAAGTGTTACATTAGGTACTATAAAGTGTTACAATAGGTCAAATTCAACACCAGCAAATGTAATGGTAAAAAAATGTTACATTTTCTCTGAAAAGTGTTACATTAGAGAAAATGTAACATTTTTTTACCATTACATTTGCTGGTGTTGCATTTGACCTATTGTAACACTTTATAGTAACTAATGTAACACTTATACTTCTAGAAAGTGTTACACTAGGTCTAAAAAGTGTTGCATTAGAGAAATAGGTAACACTATTATAGATATGTTATATCTCTAATGTTACATTAGGTCTAAAAATGTAGTAGTGACATACAAAATGATCGAAATGAGTACATGCATGGGTACGTACCTGGGTTGTAACTTCCAAAGACGACATCGGCAACGGCGCGGCCGCCCTCTTGGCCAGGATATCCGGTCCAGAGGATGGCCTGGATATTGGGGTTCTCTTTGGCGAAAGAGATATCGACGCAGCCGGCCGACATGACGACAAGGATCACCGGACCTTTAGAGACGGCCGCGACTTGATTGATGAGCTGCGTCTGATAGCCGGGAAGAAGAAGGTCCACTCTATCCAAACCCTCAGCCTCAATACTTAAGTCTAGACCAGCTAAAATCACAGTGGCGTCCGCTTTCTTAGCTGCCTTCATCGCCGGGAATATCAAGCTCTCGTTCTTGCATTGAACATCCCCGCATCCCATTTTATAATCCACCTTACTGTACATTGCAAACCCTTCCAGCGGAGATGTGTATTTGCATGGCACGCCTGCGTAAGCCATTCAGAAAATCCACTAAAACAAAGCATTTTTTTTTTTCTAAACTAGGAGTTAGTGTTGTTTTCATCCTAAAATAGAATTTATGTATTCCAATTTTATAAGGAGAGAAAAAAACTTTTATTTTTTTAATAGAACTACGTAAGTCTAGTTTTAGGAATATATATATATATATATATATATATATATATATATATATATATATATATATATATATATATATATATTCATGTTTGGTCTTATTTTATGGAATTACTTATGTTTTGCTCTTACTTATCAATAAAACTTGGTGTTGTTGACTTTTTACAATTCATGATAGTCAATTTTGATCAATAATATTTTTCAATATGAGATTATGGCAAATGATAGTATGAAAAATATATAGAAATAGTGTGTGTTAAAAATACTTTTAAATATAAAAGATATAGTTTCACATAAATGTAATAACTAAAATTATTTCTAAAGTTTATTATCATTGATCAAGAAAAAGTCAATTTGGCCAAGTTTTATGAGACGGATACATATATCGTTAAGTATTAATTACTCTCTTTCACTCCTTTAAACTTAGCTATTTTCTTGATTGCTCATACATAGTATTAAACTTTCACCACCTATATATATCTTTGTATATAAAATCATTTATGATATAGAAAATGATATGAAAATACTTTTCTTTAAGAATATCCACATATGTATATACATAGTAGAATGATTACTACCATTACCCAAACAGAGAAAATCCGGAAGTTAAATGCACAAACATATGTGTACTCCGTTTTACCCAAACATATTATTATTATGTACATCTTAAATTAAAAAGTACTCCGTAGTAAATTTTAGTTAAATGCATGCATGTTAGGTACCTTTGTAATTGCCGATCATGACCTCGGTTGCATTTGCGTGGGGTCCAACAAGAGCTAGGGTTTTGATGTGATGAGATTGCAATGGAAGGGTTTGGTTGGCGTTTTTGAGAAGAACAGTTCCTTCTCTGGCTGCTTCGGCTGCCAACTCAATGTGCTCATCAGAGCATATCTCATCTTCCCCAAGTTCTTCAAACTGAGGAATCCCATCAAAGAAACCCAACCTCATTAACACTGTGTACAGATTCCCCAAGGCCTTGTCTATGTCTCCCTCTTTCACCTTCCCTTGTACCACTGCGTTACTCGAGTAGTTCGTATACGTGCTCCCACAATCCAAATCCAGACCTGCTTTGAGAGCTTGTGAAACAGCATCTTCAGGTGTATCACCAAGCCATTTGTGATTATTCACCATAACATCAATTGAATCGCAGTCTGAGACTATGTATCTGATGAAAAAATATATATAGATGGATTCATTAAAACAGTACGTATAATGTGTGAACAAATTAAATAGAATTGGTCTTTAATTTGATTATTAATTAAGTTGGATAGCTAGCATGCATGCATGCATACCCGTGGAGGTTCCACTCTCCTCTAATGGTGTCTTTTAAGAGCTTGGGATCGGCACAGGTAGGGATGCCGTTGAGGCGGTTGTAGGAACACATGACACTTGCAACATCGCCCTCTTTGACGCACATTTCGAATGGCTTCACAAAAGTCTCCATCATATCTTGTTCCGTCACTCGTGAGTCAATGTGGGTGCGATCAAACCCTTGCCAATTGTCAATGTCATATGCTGCGTAGTGCTTGCAGGAAGCCGCCACCTTCAAAGGCCGAGACTCCATGTCCCTACTCTTCTCGCTCCCCCTCACATCCTGCAACCCTCTCACGAAGTTGATTGCGTACTTCCCGGCCACAAACGGGTCTTCCCCGGGAGTCTCCAGAGCTCGTCCCCACCGCGGATCCCTCACCGGGTTGATGTTGGGGCTCCAAAACGTCAGCCCCGCGTGCCCCAGGTTGTGCATCGCCCTTGCCTCCGTCGACACCGCCTCCCCGATCCTCTTCCACAGCGACTCGTTGAACGACGCCGCCGTCGCGATGACCGTCGGGAAACTCGTCGCCCCGGGGACCGCTCCGTCGAAATGGGTCGCCCCGTCGCCGAAGTCCGACACGCCATGAAGCGCCTCCGACCACCAGCTGTACCTGGGGAGCCCAACCCTGTGGACCCCCTCCGCCTTGTCTCCCAGCTGTTGGGCTTTCTCTCCCAGCGTCATCCTGTCTACTAAATCCTTGACCCTCACAGCGAAGGGGAGAGATTTGTCACAGAAAGCAAAGTCGTCCATGTCCAGCCCCAGGTCGGCAAATCTGGACGGTTGGCAAACATGGCGGCCAATCCGCTGCTGCTTGTTGGAGGCTGATGAAGGTGCCAGGTTTGAGTAGTGCCGTCGAGCGGAAATTTGCGAGAAAAGTAGGAGGACATGGAAAACAACAATAATTATTAGGTTGTGCGGCGTCCCCATTTTTTGCTTCGATCGCCTCTCTCTTTTCATCTACGTGTAGCTAATTGCACACTAGCTTCAATTCTGATCCGTATATATACATCAAGAGTTACGTTCGAGCGAGAATTTGGATAAGAACTGCTTCCGCTAAAAGCTCCATTAAGATCGATATCATTTTCAAATGCTATCACATTATCAATAATAATCTGCCTATTATTATTATATAGTTTCTGCGTACCTTAAAGTACGATACTTTTGTTAATGATTTAGTTGAATTATTTAAATTTAAATTAAAAATGATATAATGATTTGGTTAACGGGATGGTCACCTTATTATTATTATGATATCATCATATACTTCCTACGTATTATGATATGGATTAGCCTAATTGTTCCAATGGATCCACATTTCCATACAACTATGTACATGCGTAATAGCGAAAAAATTAACGAGCCCGTGACCGGCTCTTTACTGAGCATGTAGTTCCTCCATACATAGACTTCTTAGTGAAGTTAAACAAATTCAATTATACTTCGTAATCCGTAATACCACTAGTCTCTCTCATTAACGTAGCTTATCAATTTTTTAATTCAAATTTTATTTCTAAAATGATTAACCTGATTAGTTTCCCATTTCACAAATATTTCTCACAACAATTATAGTATATAAAATATTATGTTTGTCGATATGATATAGAGATTGAATGATTGAAAACTTGTCAATCTAGGATCTAAATATCGTGACTTTTATAATTTTTATTTTAAAATTTTCAAATTTAATTTTACTTTAGTTAACAAATAAAGTTTTGGGAAGAAAAAAGAAAAATATGTACAAATGGTCATTAAACTATCCTCATCGTATCATGTTGGTCTCTAAATTAATAAATCTGGCATTTTATTCCTTATTCTATTTAGAACACTAAAATTGTCTGGATTAGCTAAATCTACTGATATTAATGAAGTTATGGCTGAAGCGACCAAGTTATGGAAAAATTATATTTAAAATATTGGCCGAAACTGCTGTTTTATGGAAAAATTATATTTAGGATATTTTTATTAATAAATTAAGAAATAATTACATATATATGACTATAATAAATGTAGTTTACAAAATATGACTAATGACTATATATGTAGTGTAGTAACTTAATCATAACAATTTATGTTCAATTTTGAAACTTAAGTGATATGCACTAGTTTATAGTGCATAAACGTATGTTTTTATGTTGATTGAGTGTGGATTTTCCATCACTTTTAGTTAGTTTGTAAGTACTTGTTTTATTTTGTTTGTAATTGTTCTCTCCTTCTTTTCGGAGTTTTAGAATAGTGATAGAGTTTGTAACAAGGAAAAAGGGAGAAAAACTGAAGACAAAAAGACCCAGGAGCACAAAAACCCGACCGGGTCAGACCTTGAACCCGGTCGGGTCAGTTGAAGACCGGATCTAAGAAGAAAAAAGTAAGACCCGGTCGGGTCCCTTACTCGACCCGGTCGGGTCAAATATGACCCGGAACACCAGAACATGCTGAAGATCACAAAGATTTGGAAAAAATCTGATTTAGACCAAACTCGGTCGGGTCCCTCACTTGACCCGGTCGGGTCTGACTTGACCCGGGACAAATTAACGAGCTGGAACAATGAAACGTGGGAGATTATCTGATTTTGACCGGTACCCGGTCGGGTATGTACCTATACCCGGTCGGGTACCCGGCCAAAGGTGTTGAAAAACACCTATAAATAGCACTCTTTTTCTCCTCTAAAAATCATCCTTTCTTCCATTCTCTTTAGCTCAGTTTAGAATAGCATTTCTTTATATTTTCTAGCTATGTTTAGCCTCCAAATGAGGAGCTAAACTCCCATTCTTGGTTTTGCTCTTGAAGCTTGTTGATTATTAAAGTTGTGAGTTATTTTCTTAACTTCTTCTCTTGATTATTAATTCTTCCCTTAATCTCATTCTATATTAATGTTGGAGGGTTGCTAAGTGATGATTAGTTAACGTTCCGACATTAATTACTACTAGAAACGATCAACGAACCGATGGTTAATCGTTGGTGGGTTCACAAGTAAGTAACTTCGGTTTATTAATGCACGGTCGTGGTTAATAGACTTAAGAGGGATCAATTTTGTTGGTTAAACCGAAACCGTTGCGTTAAGGTTATCAATCTCAATTGATTTCATCAAGGAGTTAAAAAGATTGAATGCTACTATTATATCGGTATACGGCGTTGTTCTATATTTGATTAATAGTAAGGGTTATTAAAGAACGGTCGTTGTTAATAACTACCCTCGATGAATTGGAGATACTCCTCGATTGAGTATTCGAGAGGGGATAAGTTATAGATATAACAAGGATCTACTAAAATATATCAACAAGTGGAAAGTAGCAAAGCCAAGTCCCTTTTATTCTTGAATTAAACACATATAGGTTGTTCATCTTAGTTTCTTAATTGAATTAAATCACTCAAAACCAAATCCCCCCCTTTTATTTACTAAGTTTCATAAAAAGAGAATTATTCCTCTCCCTGCGGATACGAACTCTACTACGCTATACTACGTATAGGTGTTTAGTATTGAATTTATTTTGACGCACCGTGACAAAGTGCTCGTCAAATTTGGCGTCGTTGCCGGGGAAAGGCAATTATTTTTCTTTCTATTTTATTTCAAGAAAAATCAAAATATATATATATAAAGTTTTCTATTTTGCTGAGCTTTGTTTGAGTATATGGTAAAAACCCGATCCATAAACCAACTCACCTACCAAACAAACCCCGAAATAGAAAAAGCTCTCGAGCGGTTAAAGAATAAATTCTCAAATACCGACTCGGGGGAATCCTCAAGTGCTAGTTCTCAATCTAGCGAGTCCGAGGAGTCAATATCAATGGCTCTTGAAACAAGAACGCTGAGGGAGCTCACAGCCCCCAATCTAAATCAACAACCCTTATGTATCACCTTCCCAACTCTTGATGCGGGTGCTACATTTGAGTTGAAATCTGGACTAATACATCTACTTCCATCTTTCCACGGGCTAAGAGGAGAGGATCCGAATAAACATCTTTAGGAGTTCCACATCGTTTGCACAAGCATGTGCCCGAACGGTGTTACCGAGGAGCAAATTAAGTTGAGGGCTTTCCCATTCTCCCTCAAAGACACCGCCAAAGATTGGCTATTCTATCTTCCCTCGGGAAGCATAGACACTTGGGCGGCCATGAAGAAGAGCTTCCTCGAAAGGTATTATCCCGCCTCCATCTCCTCATCTTTAAAGAAACAAATCAGCAATGTGGAGCAAAAAGATGATGAATCGTTCTACGAATTCTGGGAACGATTCAAGAAACTCTGTGCGAGCTGTCCGTATCACGGCTACTCGGAGCAAGACCTCATCCTTTACTTTTATGATGGTCTTTGCGATGATGATAGACGGATGATAAATGCTGCATGTGGAGGAGGAATAGTCAACAAAACTCCTTCTCAAGCTAGGAATCTTATCTCGAAGTTGGCCGAAAATTGTAGACACTATGATCGGCGGTCAACAAAGAGAGTTATGGCAGCGGAATCCAACAACTCGTTGGAGAGTCAAGTAGCCGGCTTGACTTCTTTGGTTAAAGATTTCCTTTTGAATCCAAAAACCCAAGAAGTCAAGGTCTACGACATCTGTTCAACACAAGGGCATCCCACAGATTCTTGCCCAACTTTACAAGAGGAGAACTCCGAGCAAGTCAATGCTTTGGGGTTCCAAGGCCAAAGGAGGTACGATCCTCACGACAACACCTACAATCCAGGATGGAGGGATCATCCAAATCTAAGGTACGGAAACCCTCAACCCCCTCAACAAACAAACCCTCCCCCTCCTCAACAATTTAAACAACACGGCCAAACATCGAACTCAAGCATGTCCACCGAAGACATGATTCGAGCATTAGCCATGAATATGACTATGATGCAACAAAGTGTGGCCCAATTTCAAGAAACCACAAAGTCTAGCATCCACAATTTGGAAAGCCAAATGAGCCAAATCTCAAACGCCGTGAGTAGGCTAGAAGCTAGGGATTCGGTAAAACTCCCATCTTAAACGGAGCCGAACCCGAGGCAACAAGCTCATGCGGTCACTTTGAGAAGTGGCAAAGAATTGGTTATGGCTAAGGCAAAAGCAAAGAGCCATGTGGGAGAAGAAGAGGAGGAGATCTTGATGCCAAGCACACACCCTCAAAATGAAGAGGAAAAAGAGGAGGAGATCACACCTCAAAGAAAGTTCCCACCGCTCAACTCATATGAGCCGGTGCCACCTTTTCCGGAGGCTCTCAAGGATAACCGGAAATACAACAATGACAAAGACATCTATGAGACCTTCAGCAAATGTGAGGTAAATATCCCTCTTCTCAATTTAATAAAAGGTGTTCCTAGGTTTGCAAAGTTTTTAAAAGAACTTTGCACAATTAAAAGGAAACACAAGTTGAATGGCAAGCATAAAATCCAAGTAAGTGAAAGAGTGTCGGCCGTTTTTCAAAAGAAACTGCCTAAAAAGTATAGTGATCCGGGAATGTTCACTATACCATGTAAACTTGGAAATTCTAGTTCTTCTAGGGCTATGTTAGATTTGGGTGCATCAATCAATGGCATCCCATATTCTCTATATAAATCCCTAAAACTAGGACCTTTACATGAAACGGGGGTCTTTATCCAACTTGCCGATAGATCCAATGCCTACCCAAAAGGTGTGGTAGAGGATGTTCTCGTCATGGTGGATAATTTAATCTTTCCCGCTGATTTTTACGTTCTTGAAATGGAGAACGATAAAAATGCAGTCCCAATTTTACTAGGCCGACCCTTTTTGAAAATGGCTAAGGCAAAAATTGACGTTTTTAGTGGAGTATTAACCATGGAGTTCGATGGTGAAAAAGTCGAATTTAATATCTACGACTCCATGAAATACCCCACTGATAATCACTCTCTATTTGCGATTGACACTTGCGACACTTGGGTCCAAGATGTATTTGAAATTGAGGGAAAGGATGAAGTACTAAGCTCAATAGAAAACGACATAGAGGATTTTACATTGGAATA